CAGTACAGTCCTTATGTTTGTCGCTAGAACAGCAGTACAGTCCTTATTTTTGTCGCTAGAACAGCAGTACAATCCTAATGTTTGACCCTAAAACAGCAGTACAGTCTTTATGTTTGCCACTACAACAACAGCACAGTCCTTATGTTTGTCGCTAGAACAGCAGTACAGTCCTGATGTTTGTCGCTAGAAAAGCATCACTGTCCTCATGTTTGTCGCTAGAAAAGCAGCACAATCCTAATGTTTGACCCTAAAATAGCAGTACAGTCTTTATGTTTGCCACTAGAACAACAGTACAGTCCTTATGTTTGTCGCTAGAACAGCAGTACAGTCCTTTTGTTTGACCCTAAAATAGCAGTACAGTCCTTATGTTTGTCGCTAGAACAGCAGTACAGCTCTTATGTTTGTCGCTAGAACAGCAGTACAGTTCTTTTGTTTGTCGCTAGAACAGCAGTACAGTCCTTATGTTTGCCATTAGAACAGCAGTACAGTCCGTATGTTTGTCGCTAGAACAGCAGTACAGTCCTTATGTTTGTTGCTAGAACAGCAGTACAGTCCTTATGTTTGTCGCTAGAACAGCAGTACAGTTCTTATGTTTGTCGCTAGAACAGCAGTACAGTCCTTATGTTTGTTGCTAGAACAGCAGTACAGTCCTTATGTTTGTCGCTAGAACAGCAGTACAGTCCTTTTGTTTGTCGCTAGATCAGCAGTATAGTCCTTATGTTTGTCGCTAGAACAGCAGTACAGTTCTTATGTTTGTCGCTAGACAAGCAGCACAGTCCTTATGTTTGTAGCTAGAACAGTAGTACAATCCGTATGTTTGTCACAAGAACAGCAGTGCAGTACTTATGTTTGTCACAAGAACAGCAGTACAGTCCTTACGTTGCCACCAGAACAACAGAACAGTCCTTATGTTTGCCACTAGAACAACAGAACAGTCCTTATGTTTGTCACTAGAACAGCAGTACAGTCCGTATGTTTGTCAATAGACTAGCAGAACAGTCCTTATGTTTGCCACTAGAACAGCAGTACAGTCCTTATGTTTGTCTTTAGACCAGCAGTACAGTCCTTATATTTGCCACTAGAACATCAGAACAGTCATTATGTTTGCCACTAGAACAGCAGTACCGTCTTTATGTTTGTTGCTAGAACAGCAGTACAGTCCTGTTGTTTGTCGCTAGATCAGCAGTACAGTCCTTATGTTTGTCGCTAGAACAGCAGTACAGTTCTTATGTTTGTCGCTAGACCAGCAGCACAGTCCTTATGTTTGTAGTTAGAACAGTAGTACAATCCGTATGTTTGTCACAAGAACAGCAGTACAGTCCTTATGTTTGTCACAAGACAAACAATGCAGTCCTTATGTTTGCCACTAGAACACCAGTACAGTCCTTATTTTTGTCGCTAGAACAGCAGTACAATCAGTCTGTTTGCCACTAGAACAACAGTACAATCCTTATTTTTGCCGCTAGAAGAGCAGTACAATCCTAATGTTTGGCCCTAAAACAGCGGTACAGTCTTTATGTTTGCCACTACAACAACAGTACAGTCCTTATGTTTGTCGCTAGAACAACAGTACAGTCCTTATCTTTGTCGCTAGAACAGCAGCACAGTCCTTATGTTTGTCGCTAGAACAGCAGTACAATCCGTCTGTTTGCCACTAGAACAACAGTACAATCCTTATTTTTGCCGCTAGAAGAGCAGTACAATCCTAATGTTTGGCCCTAAAACAGCAGTACAGTCTTTATGTTTGCCACTACAACAACAGTACAGTCCTTATGTTTGTCACTAGAACAGCAGTACAGTCCTTATGTTTGTCACAAGAACAGCAGTTCAGTCCTTATGTTTGTCACAAGAACAGCAGTACAGTCCTTATGTTTGTCACTAGAACAGCAGTACAGTCCTTATGTTTGTCGCTAGAACAACAGTACAGTCCTCATGTTTGTCGCTAGAAAATCATCACTGTCCTTATGTTTGTCGCTAGACTAGCAGTACAGTCCTTATGGTTGTCGCTAGAAAATCATCACTGTCCTTATGTTTGTCGCTAGACTAGCAGTACAGTCCTTATGTTTGTCGCTAGAACAACAGTACAGTCCTTATGTTTGTCGCTAGAAAATCATCACTGTCCTTATGTTTGTCGCTAGACTAGCAGTACAGTCCTTATGATTGTCGCTAGAACAGCAGTACAGTCCTTATGTTTGTCGCTAGACTAGCAGTACAGTCCTTATGGTTGTCGCTAGAATAGCAGTACAGTCCTTATGTTTGTCGCTAGAACAACAGTACAGTCCTTATGGTTGTCGCTAGAATAGCAGCACAGTCCTTATGTTTGTCGCTAGCACAGCAGTACAGTCCTAGTGTTTGTCCCTAGACTAGTAGCACAGTCCTAATGTTTGTCAAAAGAACAGCAGTACAATCCGGATGTTTACCGCTAGAACAGCAGTACAGTCCTTATGTTTGTCCCTAGAAAAGCATCACAGTCCTTATGTTTGACGCTAAAACAGCAGTACAGTCTTTATATTTGTCGCTAGAACAGCAGCACAGTCTTTATGTTTGTCGCTAGAACAGCAGTACAATCCTAATGTTTGCCACTAAAACAGCAGTAGAGTCCTTATGTTTGTCGCTAGAACAGCAGCACAGTCTTGATGTTTGTCGCTAGAACAGCAGTACAATCCTAATGTTTGCCACTAAAACAGCAGTAGAGTCCTTATGTTTGTCGCTAGAACAGTAGTACAGTCCTATTGTTTGACGCTAAAACAGCAGCACAGTCTTTATGTTTGTCGCTAGAACAGCAGTACAATCCTAATGTTTGCCACTAAAACAGCAGTAGAGTCCTTATGTTTGTCGCTAGAACAGTAGTACAGTCCTAATGTTTGACGCTAAAACAGCAGTACAGTCTTTATATTTGTCGCTAGAACAGCAGCACAGTCTTTATGTTTGTCGCTAGAACAGCAGTACAGTCCTTATGTTTGTCGCTAGAACAGCAGTACAATCCTAATGTTTGCCACTAGAACACCAGTACAGTCCGTATGTTTGTCATTAGACTAGCAGTACAGTCCTTATGTTTGCCACTAGAACAACAGAACAGTCCTTATGTTTGTCGCTAGAACAGCAGCACAGTCCTAATGTTTGACGCTAAAACAGCAGCACAGTCTTTATGTTTGTCACTAGAACAGCAGTACAATCCTAATGTTTACCGCTAGAACAGCAGTACAGTCCGTATGTTTGTCGCTAGAACAGTAGTACAGTCCTAATGTTTGACGCTAAAACAGGCAGTAGAGTCCTTATGTTTGTCGCTAGAACAGCAGTACAGTCCTTATGTTTGTCGCTAGAACAGCAGTACAGTCCTTATGTTTGTCACTAGAAAAGCAGTACAATCCTAATGTTTGCCACAAGTATAGCTGTACAATCTTTATGATAATCGCAAGAAAAGCTGAACAGCCTTTACTTTGTCACAAGATTAGCAGAACTGTCCATAATTTTGCTGGTTTAAATATGCCATGTAAAATAACAATTATATCTTGTATTTAGATAATTGATTTTGCATTTATTTAACCTTAAATATACACCCCTGTAAATAGTAGGCATTTTAGCAGAGACAAATGTTCAGGTGTTTAACTTGTTCGAGTTGACATTAAGTGAGTAAAATCCTATTTCATTAACGATTCAAATTTCTCGCGAAAAAATAGCAATCAATATTTATTAGATTATGTATACTAATTATTCTTGTCTTAAGTAAAAATGTGCCTTATTCTCACCACAATATTCTCCGTTTCCATAGTAACCCGGATTGCATATACACATGAAAACACCGAAGTCTTTTTCACATCGTGCATTCTGATCACATTTCAAGCCAATTTCTATGCATCGGTCTGAAAAGCCCATGGTAGTACTTGCAACAGTGGAAGTTGTCGGTGTGTTAGATGTTGTAGTTGTGATCGGCGAAGTAGTGGATGCCGCAAAGGTAGTTGTCGGCGTAGCAGTGGATGGTATAGTGGCAGTTGTCGGCGTTGTTTTGGTAGTTGTTGGCGTAGTAGTTGTAGTCGTCGGAGTTGTAGTTGTTGTAGTTGTTGGTGTAGTAGTGGTAGATGTTGGCGTAGTGGTTGTAGTTGTAGGCGTATTAGTTGTAGCTGTTGGCGTAGTAGTTGTAGTTGTTGGCTCATTAGTTGTAGTTGTAGGCGTAGTTGTGGTAGTTGTTGGCGTAGTAGTTGTAGTTGTAGGCGTAGTTGTGGTAGTTGTTGGCGTAGTAGTTGTAGTTGTTGGCGTAGAAGTGGTAATTGTCGGCGTTGTAGTTGTAGTTGTAGGCTCATTAGTTGTAGTTGTAGTCGTTCTAGTTGTAGTTGTTGGCGTAGTAGTTGTAGTTGTTGGCTCATTAGTTGTAGTTGTTGGCGTAGTAGTTGTAGTTGTAGGCGTTGTAGTGGTAGTTGTTTTTGGTGGAGTTGTGGTAGTTGTTGGCGTAGTAGTGGTAGTTGTCGGCGTTGTAGTTGTAGTTGTAGGCGTTGTAGTGGTAGTTGTTGGCTCATTAGTAGTAGTTGTTGGCTCATTAGTTGTAGTTGGAGGCTCATTAGTTGTAGTTGTAGGCGTAGGAGGGGGAGGTGTAGGCGTAGTAGTGGTAGTTGTAGGCGTAGTAGGGGTAGTTGTAGGCGTTGTAGTGGTAGTTGGTGGCGTTGTAGTGGTAGTTGTTGGCGGTGTTGTGGTAGTTGTTGGCGCGTTAGTGGTAGTTGTTGGCTCATTTGTTGTAGTTGTAGTTGTTGGCTCATAAGTTGTAGTTGTAGGCTCATTAGTTGTAGTTGTAGGGGTTGTAGTGGTAGTTGTTGGCTCATTAGTGGGAGTTGTTGGCGTAGTAGTGGTAGTTGTTGGCTCATTAGTTGTAGTTGTAGGCTCATTAGTTGTAGTTGTAGGCGTAGTAGTGGTAGTTGTAGGCGTAGTAGTGGTAGTTGTAGGCGTTGTAGTGGTAGTTGTTGGCGTTGTAGTGGTAGTTGTTGGCTCATTAGTGGTAGTTGTTGGCTCATTAGTGGTAGTTGTTGGCGTAGTAGTTGTAGTTGTTGGCGTAGTAGTGCTAGTTGTTGGCGTAGTAGTGGTAGTTGTTGGCGTAGTAGTGGTAGTTGTCGGCGTAGCAGTTGTAGTTATTGGCGTAGTAGTGGTAGTTGTCGGCGTTGTAGTTGTGGTTGTCGGTAGTGTTGTTGTGGTAGTTGAAGTGGTAGTAATAGTTGTTGTTGGTTTTGTTGTTGTTGTTGTGGTTGGTGGTGTTGTAGTGGTGCCGGCTACACATGTTCCCATATCACATGTCTGAGGAAATTGCCATGCAATGGATGATTACTATCGATTGACAAAGTTTTCAAATACATTCTTAATTCTAATTAATTTGAGATGTAACAAGGCATTTGATTGGTCAATCAAAATGATTTGCGACAGTATAACCACGATATACCGTCCGCAAATTTCTCATTCACATATGAAGCCCGCATTGCGATTGATCATGACGTCATTGACCCTGACTGACCCTGACACGTCATGAAATCGATTATTTATGACTTCACACGAATAAAAGCATGACCCCGAAAGGTCAACGTCATTCCGTTTCAATTTGAATATTTCTGACGTCACCAATCCACGGCAGAGTAACCCAGAATTTCAATAAAACACTCAGAAATATCTTAAAATCGACTTTCTTTAGGTTTTGTGGATTATACGAATAACAATGGAGATAACCCTACTGTATTTTGAGATTTTCGGCGGTATAAGTTGATTATACTGTCGCAAATATCCGTGTTAATGGCTCCGCTCTGCGTCGCAAGTAAAACACAATTTGCCACAGTATAATCACGATACAGTAGAGTTATACCCTAGTTTATTTATTCTGGCAACAACATATCCGTATACAACATATACTTAATACGAAATAATATCTGCCATGCATAAGAGAATTTTTGAAAATAAAATCTAAGCTACAATCTCAAAAGATGACATATCGAAATGGCAACCGTACAACTTTTGAAGTAGACATTAGATACCAAAATAGATATACCTTTTTAAAAAACACTTTAAGAACGTTTCATACCAAAGAATTGTCAGAAATGACTATCCAATACTCACTCCATGATGATGTGAGTTCAGCTATATTTCTTTGCACAAATATATTTTTAATACCTTTGATTAAATCTAAAAAGTAATCAATTATTTTTTTATCAATAATGTTCTGTCAAATAGGGGCCGCGATGGCCAAGTAGACATTCTGACATTCTACAACCACTATCTCTCCACCATTGGGTCGCGAGTTCGAGTCCTACTGATCTTAGGTCGGTGGTGTTTTCCCGGGTACCCCGGCATTCCGCCACCACAAAAACCTGACACGTCCTCAAATGACCATAGCTGTTTATAGGACGTAAAACACAAACAAACCAAACTAAATCTATCAAAAGTACTTCGAAACTCTTATGAATTGATGAATATGATGTAGTGTTACCTTTACGGGGTTAGTGTCTCCATCGGGGTTACAAGGCGTTCCGTCAAGAACCGCTATTTTAAGTTCACACTGGTCGCTGTTAGAGGGATTAGTACAAAGAGCCCCTATCCAACATAAACTTTCTTCTTGAACCTGCACAAAAAATGTGAGAGTGCATGTTGTTCATTCTGTAAGACACAAACTTCTTTTTCGCGAGATATCAAAACCGAATGCGGAGCCTCAAAAATCTTGTCTTCAGAGAATTGATTTCTCTTCGTCATACAACAGTGATAGTTTGGTCATACGATTATGTGTATGACGATGAAGGGTGAACTTAGGGTTCAACAAGCCCCTTAACAACACATTAGTCACCCAAACTTTCAAAATTCTGATACGTCCTTTACAGAACCCGCATAAAAAAAATGAATATATTGAACTTGTTCATTACCTATTAAAAGGGGGTTAGCGAGGTTTACGTAGTCAGCAATAGGCAATTAAGGCTGGTGTCTTCAAAATACAGTTCACCGGACTTATTACAAGTCTGGCCCTTTTGGTGAATGCTATGAAAAGGCATTTTATCTTAAGTTCATTTATTTACCTAGGGTCATGCGGAGCTTAATTTCTTTGTAACTAGCTGTGAAGTGGCATACCGGCCAAAAACACCAACACGATTGTGGCAATGAGGATGTACGTAAATCATGGTAAAAAGGGTCGATTAACATATTTTACCGGAATATGTATGTAAAACCATCGACCTTGTGACCGGAAAGAATACATAAACTTCATATATAATGTCGTTTTAAAATAATTGATGTTATTATAAAAAAAATAAACAGATTATAGATATTAACACACATTTCAGTTTCAAAGATTATAACATCGCTAGCGTGTTTAAAACCTCACAGAATGTCATGAAATGGCACACCATCTAAAGTTCAGACATCGATGTAGATTGCTAGCCTTTGTTTTCTTATTTAAAATCTGCTAAAATATATTACCCGATAGTTTTATTGTGATTTTAATGGTTTCGCATAATATGTTTTAGATAATATGTTATTCCCCAGCCTACACTACAGTTGGGCTGCCAAAGAGATTGACTCATTATAAGTTCGATGAACTATTTTTATAGAGACATCAGCCTTAATGTCTTTTCATTGAATATGTTACCTATGTACCTTTTAACTGATTAATGTACAAGTTCATTATATCAAAAGTTCCTATTTTTCAATTGGAGTTTTTGAATATGATTTATCTGGGGTTGAAATTTAGGGTGGATATACCGTCTTTTAGGGGGCTTTTTGAACCTTAATATAATCTTGCATGGCTGTTTTGCTCTCAATTTTGCAGCAAGTGATCTTTAAAAGCGGTTTTATCAACAAATTCTTAAACGTGAATAACTCAAAATGAAATTGATAAATATAAAAATAGATTTAATATAGATTATTTGTCATTGAAAATTAAAATGTAGAGCAGAGGAGGAAACCTTCAGTAGAATACTACAGATATCTTAATAGAATTGGAATATACGTTTTTAGGTGGGGTTTTTTATTTGTTTTAGCAATGCTAGAGAATGCCTGTCAAGTTCTAAGCAAACCATTTAATTCCAAACATTTTATGTCTACAAAGCAATCGCCTACAAAACATTATGGCAACCACATATATCAGTGACACTCTTTTTAGCCGAGCATGAAATAGGCCAATACTGTTCCCTTCCTTGTGATACTATCATAGAGGTTTGCAATTAACTATGTTCAGTAACAACATACCCCGCAGAAGGAAGACCCACTTGCGACGCCGACTTCACATTGTTCTGTTAAGTCGAAGGATTGACCTAAATCTGGTTGACTGCGAAACGTGACATATTCGGAGTCTGTGAAAGCGTTGTCTTTCAAACAGCTGAAGTCATCGTCTGCGAATGATCTTAAAAAAAAGAAAGAAATAATATTAAAAGTTGAATGACCGACAACTACACTTTCGGATGAACATAACGCCAAGTACCACATCAAAAATGTATAAAAGAACAAGGATATTCCAAAACATATGTGCACGCCTGTTTCTTCTGGGGCAAAGGTCTTGTCTTTACCTACCTAGGACAGCTCAGACGCACTACTATTCTTACAAAAGTCCAAATCCCGCCATCACTTTATGCAGGGGTCATGTCATCAATTATGTCACCGATTTCTTGTGGGTTTTTTTTTATGGCGCGGTGTATTTGATTCATCATTATCAATTGTTGATACGTCAGAGTAGAAGATAAATAATCAGTTTTGTTTGATGCTGGCAAAGAAATGCAACATTATGGATAAGACTTTTGAAGCCTTGTGCTCAACTTAAAAAAAAGCTTGCCCTCGGGTTTAAATGTATCTGTCTACACAATACAAGAGGACTTTATTTTATAAGTACCCCCTGACCAAAAAAGGAGACAAAGTTATTCACTTAATCTGATATCACAAAACTGGTTTGAATTGCATATTTAAATAAAATGAATTCTTATATATTTTGCTATAATATTTTGATTGATTCCCAGAATATCATCATTTGTCTTATCAGTGCAGCAACAAATTGTATTACGTATAGGAGATGAAATATAGCTTTAAACATTTTCATAAAGATCCCTTTAACACCAG